TGCCCAGCTAATTTTTGTATTTTTAGTAGAGACGGGGTTTCACCATGTTGACCAGGATGGTCTCGATCTCTTGACCTCGTGATCCACCCGCCTTGGCCTCCCACAGTGCTGGGATTACAGGCGTGAGCCACCGCGCCCGGCCGCTACATCCTTTTTTTAAACCCTTTTGATGGCCTGTCCCATTTGTATAATACATCTCATTACTCAAGTATTTGAATCCTGGAATTTTAAAATCCATGCTGATTAATGTTTTTAAAAGTTCACTCAAGTTATTTCTGCTTAAAATACATAGAGAGAGGATCTCTCTACATTAGGTAGTTTTCCTAGATTTTTCTCATTAAGTTCCTTTAACTGTCTTGGAATGAAAATAGACAAATATTCCTTTATTAGCAATGTTTAGAACATTAAGTAATTTGTCCAGGGTTACACATTTATTAAGTAGCATTTGGGGGCTGACCTTAAGTCTTGTCTGTTTGTTCATACCTTAAAACCACACCAGGCTGGGCACGGTGGCTCATGCCTGTAATTCCAGCACTTTAGGAGGCCAAGATGGGCAGATCACGAGCTCAGGAGTTTGAGAACAACCTGGCCAGCATGGTGAAACCTGTCTCTACTAAAAATACAAAAATTAGCCAGGTGTGATGGCAGGTGCCTGTAATCCCAGCTACTCAGGAGGCTGAGGCAGGAAAATCACTTGAACCCAGGAGGTGGAGGTTGCAGTGAGCCAAGACAGCACCATTGTACTCCAGCCTGGATGACAGAGCAAGACTCTGTCTCAAAGAAAAAAAAACTGCACTAGAATCTTTTTAAGATTTGCCACTTGCCTCACGTACTGCTCAGTTTACCTAGCTTTGTGAGGATAGCAGAAGTTGGAGAAATCTATTATGTTGTGCTTTACTATGTTGAATCATTTGGATGCTTCTTAGCAAATTTGGTGCAGTTAACATGTTGTATTAGAGTTTAATTTGTGAGATGATTATATATATATACATATACACACATACACACATATAATCATGTATCAAAGGGATCAAAATTTAGTAAATTCAAACATTCTAAAATACTAGACCCTGGAAAAAGAAAACCACCTGACTAGTCATGAGTTCTTTACTTATATTAGTTCATTGTATGCTTTCAGTAACCCTTTGAAGTAGGCGTCTTTGATATTCCTATTTCATGAGGAAACAGAAGCTTAGTAAATTTAAAGAAGTTTGTTGGGAGTTCCAGAGTTAGTAAGCAACCAGACTGCAATTTGAGTTTAGGTTTGTTTAATCCCAGGGCACACAGGAGGCCATGTTGCCTCCGTACTCCTTTCAGCTACCTTTGTGGGAGAGAGGAGGGAGGGTATGGGATGGGAGTTGGAAGAATAAAGCCACATCTCAAATACTGCCATAAGGAGTAAGCCTCAAAGAATTTTTTTTCCCAGGCTCTTAAACAGAATTTCTCTACCCCAGAAAATTTTACTCATTCATAGATATGAGATATATAGATATGTATATGTATCTTTACATATATATGTATCTTTATTTATGTATCTTAGAGGGAAATATATATCGCTATATATAAAACAATAAGGATAAAAGATTCTTTTATATGTGTGCATACATATAAATAAGTATTTTCTTCTTGTTAACATTTCCCATTGACTTTGTGTTTTTGTTGTTGTTTGTTTATTGTTTGAGACGGAGTCTTATTCCATTTCCCAGGCTGGAGTACAGTGGCGCAGTTTTGGCTCACTGCAACCTCCACCTCCCAGGTACAAACCATCCTCCTGCCTAAGCCTCCCAAGTAGCTAGGATTACAGGCACCTGCCACAACATCCAGCTAATTTTTTAAAAATTTTTGGTAGAGACAGGGTTTCACCAAACCTGTTGGCCAGGCTGGTCTTGAATTCCTGACCTCAAATGATCCACCCACCTCGGCCTCCCAAAGTGCTGAGATTACAGGTGTAAGCCACCTGCCCAGCCTATTTCTCATTGACTTTGGATTGTAAAGTTGATGGAAGAGATGGGCCGGACAGGGAGGAAGCAGATCCGGAGCAGTCAAATGGTTTTCAACTCTGTTAAGATCACTTGAGGAGCTTCCCAAAAAAAACCAAAGCAAAAAGAAGTCAATCCCTCTACCTTTTATGGATGCTGTTTTAATTGGTCCTGGGATAAGACCGGTCTTGGGCGGTGGGGGGTGGTGGGGGCATGTTTTTAAGTGCTCTGTTATTACAAACGTTTCAGAACCACAGAGCTAGAAAACTCAGTCCCCTGTCTCTTGGAATAAATTCCCACAGGCCGGGTGCGGTGGCTCACGCCTATGATCCCAGCACTTTGGGAGGCCGAGGCGGATGCATCACGAGGTCAAGAGATTGAGACCATCCTGGTCAACATGGTGAAACCCTGTCTCTGTTAAAAATACAAAAATTAGCTGGGCATGGTGGCATGCGCCTGTAGTCCCAGCTACTTGGGAGGCTGAGGCAGAAGAAATGTTTGAACCCAGGAGGCGGAGGTTGTGGTGAGTTGAGATCGCGCCATTGTACTCCAGCCTGGGTAACGAGCGAAACTGCATCTCAAAAAAAAAAAAAAGAAAAGAAAAATATTCCCACCAGATGGCAGCAGTGATCTTTCATTAATACATTAATAGTAAACCTTGGTTGTTTAAAATGTTCATTTTAAATACATGGAAATAAAATACTAGGAAATTGTTTTCTGATATTTCTGCAAGTATAAATGATTTCTGTTCATTTCTTTCAGAATAACCTGAAGCCCCCACAGGCAAAAAGGAAAATACAACATGTTACTTGGCCCTGAAGGAAAGTTTCTGAAAATGTAAATATGCTGTAACTGTAGTTTTTCAAATATGTTCATATATATTGACAGTATTTACAGAAATCCTGTTTATTGTGGAATTTTCTTAAGAGGTTTCAAATAGGTTTAAAAAATGAAGGATTTATTTTCCTTTCCTTCTTCCCTCCCTCCCTCCCTTTCTTTTTTAAAATTCTTGCCTGTCTTGCCCTGATTAGAAAGAATATCTTTTAAACCAATGGCTTAGTTTATGTCATTTATATTGACCCTGGTCAAATCATTAGCTACAAGCCTACTATAAAGCATCCAGTGAATTGGCTGGGCACGGTGGCTCACGCCTATAATCCCAGCACTTTGGGAGGCCGAGGCGGGGAGATCACCTGAAGTCTGGAGTTCCAGACCAGCCTGACCAACCTGGAGAAACCCCATCTCCACTAAAAAATACAAAATTAGTTGGGTACGGTGGCGCATGCCTGTAATCCCAGCTACTCAGGAGGCTGAGGGAGGAGAATCGCTTGAACCCAGGAGGCGGAGGTTGCAGTGAGCCAAGACCATGCCATTGCACTCCAGCCTGGGTAACAAGAGTGAAACTCTGTCTTCAAAAAGAAAAGCATCCAGTGAATTTTAGGAGTTACTCTCATTAGCCTTGTTCAGAGTCTTGGAGAAATTTGAGATTTTTCTTTAAAAACTCAAGTATTTTGCTAGTTTGCCATTTTTATTTCTTTGAAACATAAAACAGTTTGTCACAGTATTTTAGTAAATATTACAACATTCATCCTAAAAGGTTCACCAAGAAAAGCATCTTTGTAGTACTGCTGGAAAACTATTCAGAATATACAGATAAAAATGCTATTCTTTAAGTGCTTACATTGCTTCTTCCCATAAAAAGCAAAAGGGAATCAGTGCTTGCTATTGCTTCTTTCTTTGAAGTCATGACAATGGATGTATATATTACGAGTTGACAGGTTGGTTCTGCACCTGGACCATCCTTTAGAATGTTTTTGTCATGCAGCAGTCCTACCTATTCTTTTCATGAGCAGTCTGTGATCTCACTCTGTGAGTTCAGCTATTACCGCTCCTGGGAGCTTAATCTTTTCACAATGAAGTTGATTTAAAATATCTTCAAGCTGAGTAATCATGTTAGAGATGGTATTCGATGGCAGGAAGTTTAGAGAATTGGGAGTGGTCATAGAATTCTAGAACTTATGAGAGTCCAGGAAGCATAGCAGTCAGGGGCAAAAATTAGCATAATACGGAGTAGGCAGTAGAGGAGCTGCTGGAGTCAAAAGTCACTACAGAGTGCAGCATAGGAAGATGGACTCCCAGCTTAGGTGAGGTTCCCTGCAGCTGTAATATAGACACTTCCCACAGGGCTGTTCCACACAGAATTATCTGCTAAGGTTTTTTGTTTATTTTTGTTCAAGTAGTGTTTTCACTCCAATTGTATAATGGAAATCAATGGGAAGATAGGGTTTACCTTATGTTCATGAGTTCTAGTTTCTACTGTTCTGCTATATGTTTCTACGTAAGAGCAAAGGATACTTCATAATTCTTTATATGATTGATCTTCACACCTTTTTCAATATGTTTTAAAGGAGTCTTGTTCCTCTTTTGATTTGTTAAAACAAGCATGTTAGTTCAGCTATTGAATAGCCTTCCAAACAATTAATTCAGCCTTGTAGGTAAGTACCATACTAAGACTTTAACCCAGTAGTTTTTAATCATTCTGCCTTTATTCCAGACTGTAAATCTGTACACATAAGACAAAACACACTAAGTACTGCATAAATTATTAACAGTAAATTGTTATCTGCAGGGCTGATAGATGTAATAATGTTGGTGGGCAACTGTGATCCTATACATAAATATATGCAAAGGAAGATTTTAAAAGTGCAGATTTTAGAGTAGATTGACAAATTTTATTTTATATTAACTTGTCCTTTCCGTTTCCATCTGTGTTTCTCTCTTAGTTGAGAGAGTTAGCCATTTGACGATTTTAAGTCAGTGGGAACTTATTTTTAGTTAGTCAATAAAATTAATATTTTATTTGTTTAACTTACAGAGTAGGTTGGTAATAACAGCTGAACTGTGTAACATTGTTGCTTCAAATTGAAGTTTATATTATGAACATTCAGAATCAATGCTCATGGTAGTAGCATGTTAGTGAGCTATTTTGAGTTTGAAATGTGGAGAAACTGCTAAACCATGTACTATGTATTAACATAATCCCACCTTCTTAGAGCTTTGTTCCTTCTGAAGGTGTATGGGTATAGCTTGTCTTGAAATGCCCTTCTCCACGTAATGAAGCAGGCTGAATGCTGGGAATCTGGAGCAGCAGCCTTGGGAGCCCTATATTTTGAAGTGTTTTGGTTTGCTTAAAAGGTTAGAAGAACTTGATTTGAATGGCAGACAACTTTAGAATACTAGTTCCTCAATAACATGAAGTAGGTAATGTTACTCTTGATTCTATAGTCCACTAAAGCCAGGTTTTCTTATTACTGGAGTAGGCTAATGACATTAGGGTTAGTGGGAGGCTTGTAAGTTGTACTTATGGGCACTTTATCACTTCCTGCCATTAGCAGGTATCCTTGTTTCTTCTTCCTTTCCCTCTTTGTTCGTTATTTTCCCTTTCTCCTTACACATTTTCTTTCTCTACTTTAATTCTTCCTTTTTACTGTAGATCCCAAGCTTCTGGCTTAGGTTTGCAAGTTATACTGCTTGGCCCTCCTCATTCACTGAGGGGTGAAGATAGGCTGACCCCTGTCCTCTTACATTTGAGGGATCATAGACTGCTGTGTGGATTCTGGAAAGTCTCAAGACCCTACATCACCAGGGCACTGAATGGCTTCTCAATGGCTGTAAAGACAGTACAGTTTTCCAAAGTAACCTAATTCATCTGGACAGCTACCAGGCACTTTGGAAATTTGGTTCAGTTACTACTACGAGGCCATAATATATTTGTTAGTATTAAAATTCTTCAGAATTGGAATTATTATTTGAAATAATATTTTGGTTGACTTAAGTTTTGAGAGATGATTCTAAAACTGATCTATAGAGACTCATTCAATAGCAATGTGACCTTTTAAAAACTTACATTAAGTAAAACTGCCAGTAGACTAAATCATGGTATATGTATATATTATAGTAAGAGCTTCCTCTATTTACTACTGTTGAACTTCAGTAATTTTTAGAGGCTAAATAATGGTCAAAATGTTTTTAAGTGTGCTCTTTTATTAAACGCTTGTGCAGGTTTTGTAATAAGTACAGAAAAGTTTAACCTTGTACATTTTTGTATGTAAAAAGTCTTTTAAGTAGCCATATCCTTATTTAAATAAACAAAGTAAAATTACCTTGAGTAAGTCTGTTATTCTTAATAAAATGGAAAAATGCTCTGTAATGACTTGATCTGTTTTTATATGAGTAAACAATTTTGGAAAGTATTCTTTATAGTACAACTTTGTTTACCTGGATTGTTTAAGATCAGATGTGATTCGAGTAGTCCAGCCATATCTTGCAGTTTTTCTCTGAATGAGAGGGTGGCTGGAGTGGTCTGGTGTTGGGATATCATGGTGCTACAGAGCCTGTTATGTTGACTGTCACTGCTTGCTGAGGGATGGAAATAAAAGTCTCTGAACCTTCTCATGTAATAAGCTCTTAACAAAATGAGACAAACTAGAGATTCAGTTGAGAGATTTTGTGTTGTAGTGATCTGAAAAAAAGTTAATTTCTAAACTGATGTCTTAATGTTATTATATTTGGAGACTGATGCTCTAAATTAAATAACTTGGAAAAGACTCAGGTAACTTTCTACTTGATCTTTTGTTTTGTTTTAGAGATGAGGGCTTGCTCTGTCGCCCAGAGCTGGAGTCCAGTGGCGTAATCATAGCTCACTGCAGCCTTGAACTCCTTGGCTCAAGCAGTGCTCCTGCTTTGGCCTCTTGTAGCTGGGACTGCAGGCATACACCACCACACCAGGGTTCTCCTTTATACTTAACACGTAGGTTCTTCATTTTTTTGTCTGGACAGAAGAGACAGAAATCTTATGTCCACTTAGATTGGTTTTACTAAAGTGCATTTTACTACCTGAAGTGCACTACTTTTTCAGTTGTTTAATAACTTGATCATCTTTCTTAATGTGGAATAAAAAATAAAGATGTGAATTGCCTGTATGTTTGTTGAGTACCTACTGTGTTAGCACTTGGGAATGAACAAGGCAGGCACTTAATTTGCCGTGTTAATTCATTGCTCCCATAGAGAAAACAGGCAAGGGAACCATGGAACAATAAGTGTAATGGTAGAAAATAAAAGAGGATCATGAAAAGGTGAAGGATGAAGACAGCCCGGTGAGGAGCTATTTTAAATACAGTGGTTAGGAAAGTCCTCTGAAGATACTATACTTTGAAGAGAGCATGACTGAGGCACAGCTATGGAAAGCTTTCAGAAGAAGCATTCTACATGTATCCGATTTTGAATGGCTGCATACTCCTCCTCCCATCAAGGCTGGAGTCTGCTTCCCACCACTTGTGTATGGACTGGCCTTGTAACTTGCTTTGATCAAGTGAATGCCTCTACCCTTACACTTGGACCTCTGCTTGCATCCATGTGAAAAAGCCCTAGTATGCTCATTAGAAATACATGGCTCACCCAACAGCCAGACATGTGACCACTAGTCATCTATCCCCAGCCTAGCTGCCAGCTGACTAAAGCTGCAATGATGAGCCCCCTGATTGGATCAGTCCAGATTGATGACTCTCAGAATCATGAGTGAATAAAATGGAAGTTGTATGAAGCCATTAAGTATTGGGGGTAGTTTGCTACCCAGCAGTAGGTAACAGGTGCCAGACAAGGACAAAATATGAAAGCTCTAAGGCTTACTAGGTTCTTAGAACAGAAAGACTGGTGTGGCCCAAGTGAATAAAAACGGGCAATGGTAGAATAAAATGAAGTCAAAGAAGGCAGGCAGGAGCCAGATGATGTATGACCCTATGTAGGACCTTGGATTTGATTCTAATATCAATTGGAAGATGTTAACGTTCAGATTTAACCAAGCATTCAATTTAATCAAAAATAAGGCTAGTTAAATAAGTCTATAATAGCCCTATCTTTTCTCCTCAAATAAAATTAGCCAATTTTTTCTCTTTTTTTTTTTTTTTTTTTTTTTGTTGTTGTTGTTGTTGAGCTGGAGTCTTGCTCTATTACCAGGCTGGAATGCAATGGCATGGTCTTGGCTTACTGCAACATCCGCCTCCTGGCTTCAAGTGATGCTCATGCTTCAGCCTCCCGAGTAGCTGGGATTACAGGCACCTGCCACCACACCAGCTAATTTTTGTATTTTTAGTAGAGACGGGGTTTCACTATGTTGGCCAGGCTGGTCTTGAACTCCTGACCTCGTGATCCACCCACCTAGGCCTCCCAAAGTGCTGAGATTACAGGGGTAAGCCACTGTGCCTGGCCTTGTTTTGTTTTTTAATATTCAGGGAAATAGTTTGAACTAAAATTTATTTCTTTGACTAACAGTTAAACCCTTAGGAGACTATAAAATGCTTTACCAGATATGGTGAAAGACAAATACTTTTCATAAATATAAAACCATATCTCTCTAAGCCTTCTGTTATGTTTTTTCTGCCTTGCTATGTAATCTTTTAAAATAAACTTTTAAAAAATAAACTAGGACAGTTTTAGATTTCTGGAGAAATTCCCACAGTAGTACAGGTTTTTAACAAACTCCACAGTTTCCCTGCTAACTTACATTTGTACGGTACCTTTGTTGAAATGACTCGTTAACTAAAGTTCATAATTTATTTTGATTTTCTCAGGCTTCCCTTGTTTTTGATGACTACAGTTTTGAAGAGTAGTGGTCAGGTAAAACCTGGAGAGTGTTC